AGAAAATACAATAACATTCCTGAAAGCTACATCTTTTGATTTTTCCTCTAATTCTTTCCTGCTATTAAAGCAATTTATCTAGGATAAAGCAAATGCAAACTCCTATACTCCATGATATGCATATTCTGTGAATATATTTTATTCTAGGATAAATGCTTTAAAGAGTACTGAAGTCCCACTTTCACAAAATAAGAGGCACAAGTATTAAAATAATAGATACCACTTAATAATATAGAATTGCCTCCATAATAAACTAGATATGATACCAAAATACATTCTCTTTGGGAAATTACAAATGGTTCACACTAACCTCAAACACTTCCATGTGCAAATGCTCACCTAGACGTGCTCACTTCGGCAGCACATATACTAAAATGCTCACCTAGAATCCAACTTTGAATTTACTGTCATCACTAAGTGTGGTATCATCCAGAGCTAGAGATACATGATTTATCTCTGACCCTCACAGTCACAAGGAAAAGTTTTACTGAATATTACAATTGGGACTAATGGAGTTGATAGTATAAACCAGGGAATCAATGAAGTTGCACTTCCAATTGTCTGTGGTTCCATTGCCCTCTAGTGGTTAGTCTGAAACTAGTTATTAACAGTGATGGTATCCTTCCAAAGTCTAAACAGCAGCATCCCTAACATCTAGGGGTGTATTTAAGCATACAAATTTTGAGTTCTAGTTAAGACCTAATGAAAAGAAATTCTGGGGGTAGTGTCTAGAAATCTGTTCTAATGGGTCCTCCAAGTGATTCCAATGTGCACTAAAGAATGAGAGACACCAATCTTAAGTAAGGTATGGTGTTCATATTTGACGTAGATGTGAAATGTATGTTTGGGGTTTTTTACAAGAATATTGGTCATAATTATATCTCCACCTTTTCTAAATTTTGAAAGGCTTTTTATATACACAAGATAATCTAGAAAAAGCTTATAGTTTATTTGGGCAGATTGAAAAGTGCTATAAAGCTGAAATTGAACAATACAAAAAATAAGATAAAATGAATAAAAATCAAATCAAATAAATATAAAAATTCATTTTAAGAGCTTGCCAGGTCCTATATATTTATTGCTTCGCTATAAAATCAATGGGAGTGTTTGCTGGATGCATGAATAATCCAGGATTGTGTGGGGGCATTCAACAGGGTGTTTAATATTGGGCTCTTTAGATGTATATTATTTTCTATCCATTTTTTTCTATTACATAAATTGCTATTTCCAACTACATATATCGTTAATTATTCAAATGATCGCTGATACAATCCCAAGCCCACCCTGAAAGCTGAAAAATAATTGGGCAGGAATTTTTAAACATGTATTGAGGGAAATAATTTTAAATAATTTTCAAATCATGTATAAATTAGTGTTAGCTCTGGGATGGTGATGGTGACTTAACTACCCATCAGATAAAGACAACATAATTCCATAGAAGTGAAACTGGACTTGAGGCCAAGAAGTCTAAAATTGATCTATGTGAACTTTGTCAGGTTGCTTAAACTCTCGGGTACTTGGTTTCCCCAGTTAAGGGTAGTGGTGATAATAATATTCTACACTGCAGTTTTTTTGAGGGTCAAATAAGTAGGAATAAGACAGGATTCATCATTAAATAGAAGCAGCTTTATACATATTGGGTAAACAAATATTGCAGAAAGATTGGCAAATATTACAGAAATATTGTTGAAAATGTTATGAATAAAGATAGGTACACCTCTACTGCACAGAATCTCTCACAGCTAACCACTATAAACACTGGACAAGATACATAAATTTATATATTATCTGAAAGCACAGAAAGCAGACACTTAAAAGAAGTCATTATATGTAAAGAATGGCACTGAAGGAGGTCAGACACCAGTCAATTAAATGCAGACACAAAACTGAGTATTAGTGGTCTTAAGGTGCTGTGGCACAGCGGGTTAGGGCCCTGGCATGAAGCGCTGGCATCCCTTGTGGGTGCTGATTCGAGACCTGGCTGCTCCACTTCCAGTCCAGCTCTCTGCTGTGGCCTGGGAAAGCAGTAGAAGATGGCCTAAGTCCTTGGGCCCCTGCACCCACGTGGGAGACCCAGGAGAAGCTCCTGGCTCCTGGCTTCGGATTGACGCAGCTCCGGCCGTTGCAGCCAATTGGGGAGTGAACCATCGGATGGAAGACCTCTCTCTCTCTCTCTCTCTCTCTCTCTCTGCCTCTCCTCTATCTGTGTAACTCTGACTTTCAAATAAAAATAAATAAACCTTTAAAAAAAATGAAGTTCAAAAGATGAAACATGGGGTGATCATGGTTGCTGAAAGGTAAGGAAAAATCTTGGAAAGAGAACCAATAGGGAGTCCTATTCTATGTATTAGCTGTGCCCAAATCTTTGGCTGGTCCTGAACTAGGCATATGAAGGGCAAATGTCAATCAGTCCAATGGAGGCTAAACAAATAGACTGTTTAGAGTTCAAAGTTCAAGTTCACTACCTGCTAAAAGGACAAGGCAGGGGTTAGCACCATGGTAGCAAGTAAAGTTGCTGCCTCCGACAACAGCATACCATATGGGTGCTCCACTTCCTATCCAGCTCCCTGCTAATGAGCCTGGGAAAGCAACAGAAGATGGCCCAATCTTTGGATCCTTACACTCACATGGGAGATCCAGATGAAGCTCCTGGCTCCTGGCTTCAGCCTGGCCCAATCCTGGCTGTTGCGACCATTTGGGAGTAAACCAGCAGATGAAAGACATTCTCTCTCTCTCTCTCTCTCTCTCTCTCTCTCTCTCTGATTTTCAAATGCATGAATACATAAATTTTAAAAAATTTTAAAGGACAAGGGGGGAAAAACCTCCTCTAAAGAACAAACAGAATCAAGAGGGTCAAAAATTCATCATTCAAAATACCCAGGACATAATTCAGAATTAGTAAACAGCCAAGGACACATGAAAATGTGAAAAGTCAATCAGTTGAGAACCATCTTATGATGATCTAGACATCAGAGTTATAAAAGATTTCAAAGCAACTATTATAATGGCAACCAAGCATATGAAGAAAACTATGCTTATAAGGCATAAAAGATGAAATTTTAGCAGAGAAATAAAAACCAATAAAAATGAAAACTCTAAACTGTAAAAATATAGAATATGAAATCTTTCTTAAATGTTATAATTAAAGATGAAATATAAAGTAAATAAAAACAAATTAAAACTGATGGACAGAGAGATAAATTTGGAAAAAATAAATAGAGCCACAGGTATCTGTAGGATAATATCAATAGATCTAAAACATGTAATGAAGTCTAATAAGAGAGCTAAAAGGGCAGAAAGAATATGGAAATAATAACAGCCATAAACTTCCTAAATATGCTGACAGACACAGGTTGAAGAAGCTTGAAGAATCTCAAGTGTGATAATACAAAGGAAAAACTTCAATCATTAATAGAGTCAAACTATTGAAAACCAAAAACTAAAGGTTAAAAAAAATCTCAAAAACAGCCAGGGAAAATAACAAATTACATGGGAGGAAAATAACTTGAATGATGATTAACTTTTTAAATAAAAAATGCCTACAATAGCCAGGATTGGGTCAGGGCTGAAGCTGGAAGCCACAAACTAAATCTAGGTCTTCCCCATGGGTGGCAGGAACCCAATTATTTGAGCCATCAGTGCTTCCCAGGGTCTGCATTAGTGGAAAAGTGGAGGCAAGAGCCAGAGCTGGAAATCAAACCCAAGTACCATGATATGCAAGGCTGAATGCCTGCTCCTCTTTGCTCATTGCCTATTTTTCATCAGGTTATTAGGAGATTTTCTTGCTGTTGATGATGGTTTGTAGGGATTCTTTCTGGTTATTAACACCTTATCAAATATAGACATTTCTCCAAAAAAGACATGCAAATGGCAACAAGCACATAGTTTATACCACTAATCATTAGGGAGATGCAAAAATAAAGATATCACCTTATACCCATTTTGGTGGACTTATTAAAGATTTATTTATTTACTTGAAAGGCAGAGTTATAGAGAGGCAGAGGCAGAGAGAGATTTTTTCATCCACTGGTTCACCCAATCAAACGGCCACAATGGCCAGAGCTATGCCGATCTGAAGCCAGGAGCCTGGAGCTTCTTCTAGGTCTCCCACGTAGGTGCAGGGGCCCAAGGAGTTGGGCCATCTTCCACTCCCTTCCCAGGCCTTTAGCAGAGAGCTGGATCAGAAGTGGAGCAGCCAGGACTTGAACCGGTACCCACATGGGATGTTGGCACTGTGGGTGGCTGCTTTACCCACTATGCCACAGCGCCACAGTGCTGGCCCTGACATTATTAAAAAAAAAAAAAAAAGAAAAGAAAATATCAAGTGTTGAAGAAGATGTAAAGAAATTGAACTCTCATGCACTCCAGATAAGACTGTGAAGTGTTGTCACCATTATGGAAAACAGAGTGAAGATTCCTCAAAAGATTAAAAACAGAATTACCATATGATCCAGCAATCCAGATTATGAGTATACAAGTATATCCAAAATAATTTAAAGCAGAATGTCAGATAGTTGCAAACCTATGTTCTTTGTTGCATTATTCACAATAGCCAAGAAGCATAAGCAACCAAATGTTCACCAATGGATGAACAGATAGACAAAATGAGGCATACACACACAATGAATTATTCAGCCTTAAAAAATGAAATCCTGAGGCCAGCACTGTGGTATAGTGGGAAAAGCCTCCATATGCAGCACAGGCATTCCATATCGGCACCTATTTGATTCCTGAAGGCTCTGCTTCCAAACCAGCACCCTGGATCCAGCTCCCTGTGCCTGGAAAGCAGCAGAGGATGGCCCAGGTGCTTGGGCCCCTGCCACCAACTTTGGAGACCCAGAAGAAGCTTCTGGCTCCTGGCTTTGCAACAGCCCAGCTCCAGCCACTGTGGTCATTTGGGGCATGAACATGTGGATGGAAGATTTTTTTTTTCTCTCTCTCTCTTCCTCCCTCCCTCCCTACCTTCCTCCCTCCCTCCCTCTGATTCTGCCTCTCTGTAACTCTGCCTTTCAAAATAAATAATAAATGAATCTTTAGAAAAAAAGCTATGCATTGAATCAAGACGACAATGTAAAGAAGAATGAAGTGTTCTGCTCTTTTCCATTTACACTTCTCTACTTCAGGCATAGCAGTTTCAGCTCAGGAACAATGACAAGAATTAGACAGAAGCTCAATTACAACCCTCTTATTATGGGAACCAGAGCATTTCTACCATTTCAGGCTCAAGATGGCAGTCAATAAGCAAGTATGTGAGTACTCAAGATCTTTAAAACCAAGAAAGATTTTAATTTTAATAAAATAAAATAATCTTACAATTAGTATACCAGAATTGACCTCAAACTAAACAAAGTAAAAATAAGAGACAACTCATATCCAACATGTATTTTCATTATTAATCAATGAAGCAAAATTTTTTTAAATCTCCCAAATGAATAGTTTATTCCATTAGAAAATATCTTATTCTACAATCTCTTTGAACTGATTTTCCATCAATTTCATCAAACTTTGTTTCTTCAATCTTGTTTGGGTGAAAAATCCCATAATAAACAATAAGAAAAATAATTCCAAGGAGAAGAGTAAGAACTATAGTGATACTGATAGGTCTGATATAATCTGCATTAAAAATAGAGAGTGGGTAAACCCAGAACACAACCAGTATCCCCAGTGTGGTCAGTACCTTTACAATATAATAACAGGACATTGGACATTTGGTATTCTGGCCCTTAACATTAAAAAATGTAACAATAAGAATAAATCCAACAACAGTCCTATATAAGAGTTCCATACTAAAAGAAGTACAAAACTGAGTTTGTTGTTTAAATGCCCACATTATACCTAAAAGCCAAATAAATAACAATAAAAATAAAGCAACCTTAACATTTAAGAATAGTAGAAGTACCACACTAAGCATCCAAGATAATAATGTAAATAACTTATAAAAGAGATACGTGACTTTGGGACAGTATCCATTAAGGGGATTTTTATTAGGCAAGGATTTTCTTAAGGCTATTTGATAATCAACTGTTGACCAAGAAACAGCACAGCAAGAGACCACGACGGACAAATCTACAAAACAAAAAAGAAATGATATATTATCATTGGAATAATAATTACAATACTAAGTTACTTTATGCCATACATGACTTAAGTGTATACACACACTTACTAACACTTGTCAGGCACCTTAAATACTCATTCCTTCTAATCTTTGAAGAAGATTGTAATATTCTACTACATTTCAGGGAAATCAGGCTTAAAGAGATACATTACCTGACTCAAGTCACAGAGGTAGCAAGTTGTAAAACAGATTTGAATGAAAATCTTTCTGATCCAAATTTTATGTACTTACTCATTATATCAGGCTGCCTTATAATTATTTTTAATAAGTTCATTGAGAAAATTTTATTTAGCAACTGGTATACTAGAATCTGCATACTCTGGGAGTTAAGAGATAATATTTATAATGTTAGCTTTCCTAAACTTTTTGGCTTTCACCTTGGGCATAAATCTAATTGGAGTGGGTGGATGAATAGAAATGTTTAAAAGAAAACTTAATATAAGTGCAAAGTATTAATAAGATAATATGTCAACATAAAAATATGTTCTAAAACTTAAAAATTTCTATAGTTTTGATATTTTCCCCTAACAAACAACAGAGGTTTAAGTTCATTACTATTTTCAAAAGGCAAGTCACTATTAGCCCAATTGTCACGACAGAGGGTTTCTATAAAAATGAAAGATATTAGAGAATTAGATAAGAAAACTTTAGAGTAGAATACAGACTGCTTCTCATCTGCTTTAAGCTTTATTGTAAGTCTGCATAATATGAGAGGCAGACTTACAATTTCCTATCTATCGATGAGGATAATAAAGACAGGGCCTTATCCATAGCTAAAACCACTTTCTTGGTTTTAGCACATTCCACCCTGGATATTACTAGTTAGACTTCTTTTTCCTTTTTAATACAAAAATACTTGAAACACAACATCACTTTGCCTCAAATTCCCTTTATATCATTTTTGTAATTGGTTTTAATTTCTAACAAATTAACACATACAAATAATTTATAAAGTTCTATGAAACTTGAAAGAAAAATTGTATTTTGCCTTACTGCACCTCACCCTTGGTTCCAACACCACCAAGAAATCATTATCAACTCTTCTAGCTTTTCTTCTGACATTTATTGTCATATTTCTCATAAAGCACACATTGTTCTTTATTTATATGTTTTAGATACTGTTTATCAATTCCCTATCAGGAAGAGGATTTAGCACACAAACACATAGATGCATCCTCTTTTTTTTTTTTAAGATTTATTTATTTACTTGAAAATCAGCATGACACAGAGAAGGAGAAGCAGAGAGAAAGAGAGAGAGGTCTTCCATCTGCTGGTTCACTCCCCAATTGGCCGCAATGGCTAGAGCTCTGACTATCCGAAGCCAGGAGCCAGGAGCTGCTCCCAGGTCTCTCATGTGGGTGCAGGTGCCCAAGCACTTGGGCCATCTTCTACTGCTTTCCCAGGCCATAGCAGAGAGCTGGATTGGAAGTGGAGCAGCTGGGACTCGAACTAGTGCCCATGTGGGGTGCCGGCACTGCAAGCGGCAGCTTTACCCACTACGCCACAGCAGCAGCCCCAGATGCGTCGTCTTTTCATTTTCTTCTCCTCTCATCCACCCAAGAGTAACATAAGTTTTTGATAAAATCAATATTGAATATTTACCTTATTACTATATAAACACAGCTTTTGTTTAAACTACCAAGCCATTCTGATTATATTCTTTCTTTTAAAACTTTTCATTTTTCTGCAAGTTAATTGCCTTACTATCTTAGTTTTTTATAGCAGTATCACAGTTAGGTTTTTTTAAAAAAAATACCATCTTCGTGCTCTAAACTCATTGCTCTCAAGGTTCACTTCCTGTCTTCTCAGGACTTCCTTTAACCTCTCTTCTGCCTTGACTTCCTCGTTCCTAGTTCTCTATCTTCTTTCTATATTCTCAGGTTTTGATTAAGCTCTCCAGAATAAGAAAAGTTTCCCAGAAGCTGAATTTTTTTTGATTTCCTATGTCACAAAATGTCTTTACCCTCATATTGTTAGTTTTTGCTAAAAATAGAATTTAAAGGTAAAAAACACTTTTTCCACTGAAACTTTAAGTCATTGCTCTTTTATGTTCTAATTTCATTTGCTGTGTTTAAGAATTTCAATTGTCATTCAGTTTCCCTATCTTTCTGGTCTTTACTTCTCTAAAATGTTCCAGAATTTGATCCTTATCTTTGCTTTTCTAAAATGATATAATGATGTGCTGAGTTTGTTGGTGTGAGTCATTTATTCACTCTTTTAATCTAATAATTCACACCCATCAATGGCATGCCCTGTTTTCATTCTTTGGCAGTCTCCTTAGAAAACACATAACATGGAGCCGGCACTGTGGTATAGCAGGTAAAGCCGCTGCTGAAGCATCAGCTTTCCATATCAGCACCAGTTCAAGTCCAGGCAGCTCCCCTTGCAATCCAGCTCCTTGTTACTCCTGGGAAAGCAGTGAAAGATGGTCCAAGTCCTTGGGCCCTTGCACCTACATGGGAGAACTGTATGAAGCTCCTGGCTCTTGGCTTTGGCATGGCCCAGTCCTAACCATTATGGCTATTTGGGGAGTGAACAAGCAGACAGAAGATCTCTTCCCCCCCCCCCCTTCTCTCCACCTCTCTCTCTCTCTGCTTCTGCCTCTCCTTCTCTGTAATTCTTTCAAATAATAAATCTTAAAAAAAATTATATTGGCTGGCGCCGCAGCTCACTTGGCTAATCCTCTGTCTGCAGTGCCGGTACCCCAGGTTCTAGTCCCAGTTGGGGTGCTGCATTCTGTCCCAGTTGCTCCTCTTCCAGTCCAGCTCTCTGCTGTGGCCCGGGAGTGCAGTGGAGGGTGGCCCAAGTGCTTGGGCCTTGCACCCGCATGGGAGACCAGGAGGAAGCACCTGGCTTCTGGCTTCGGACTGGCGCAGCACGCCAGCCATAGCAGCCATTTAGGGGGTGAACCAACGGAAGGAAGACCTTTCTCTCTGTCTCTCTCTCTCTCACTGTCTAACTCTGCCTGTCAAAAAAAAATTATATCATGCATATTAAACAAATTGATGCTTAAAGATAATCAATATTGTTTATCTCAGAGGTGGATTCATCATGAAGGCAGTGAAGCTTAAATTTCAAATACCCTCCATTACCCAGTCTCCTACCAAGTATGGCAAAGTCTTAGCAATGTGTTCATCTAGTCACATATTTTTTTAATTTGCAAAAATAAGTTCTTCGAATTTAACTGATTAAATCCTCTCTCTCTTTTGATTCCTATTGACCCTGTGTCACATTTTCCTTTGATTTTGAAGTGGTTGTGGGCATTTTGGGGATCTGGGCTAAGGGAATTCAGTGAGAAAATGTTTGTTAGGTGTAGAAGCATGTGCTTATAAGAAATGTTTGAATAACTAAGTGGCAGAGTTAGGATTCTAAGATTTTTTTTAATCTTAACATTTCACTATTCAGTCAGTCCTCCATATCCATGGTATTTGTATCCATGGTTTCAACCAATCCCAAATAGAAAATATTTGATTAAATTTTATATTGCACATGTACAGATATTTTTTCCTGTCATGATTCAATAATACAGTATATCAACTACTCAAGTAGCATACAGAGATGATTTAAAATATAAGCAAGGATGAGCATAAGTTATATGCAAATACCATGCTGTTTTATACAGACGACTTGAGCATCTGCAGATTTTGGAATTTTCAGTGATCCTGGAGCCAACCTTCCTTAGACACCAAGGAAAGACTGTATGGCCATTCATGTGATTCGGCCAGCAACAGACCTTTGATTCTTACTGTTAGGGCACAGTGTTGTATTTTAATCCAGGTGACACTATTAGTTTGACATTTTTGCCCATTCCTTGCTTGCCTACCTGCTTCTAGTTTTCTTCTGATCAGATTAAGCTCTAGCCTGTACATTATACTCTATCCAAACTGAATTGCTTCTATGTCAAACCTTGCCTTTGCTTATGCATTTCACTCAGTCTGAAATGACCTCACCTGATAACATTAAACAGATTCCTATTCATTTCTTTCTGATTTGATACTAAATACTGACATAACTAAAGAAAACATAAAAAATTTGTACTATTTACTAAATAAGATATCAACAATAAGCTAATGATATCAACTGATATAGTATTTGTCACTTCATCTAAAACTAAAAAATTTTTAAATATCCTGAAATCCTATAGCACATTATTAAATTAGTAGATATTTTCTAAAATTTTATGACAACCCCAAAAAATGTGATATTAGCGAAGAAGAGAAATTTTATAAATTAAAATTGAAAGTTTAATTAACTTTACTAGAGAGAAGATGGAATTATTCTTGTACTTCTCTATGGAAATTTTAAAATCATTATGTAATCTAGAGCCAACCAAAGAGTATAAAGCTAAAAAAAGAAAAAGAACATTACAATAATGAAAATATATTACTTTTCCTCATTTTGTGAAGTCTGTAATATGTCAGATTTCTGATAATTTGCAATCTGCCATAATTGATCTTTTTATTTTAAATAAATATTTACTTTCATAGCTTTGATGGACTGAATTGTATGTCCTCAAAATTTATACACTGAACTCCTAACCTCAATGTCACTACACAAGAGTACTTCAAAAACTTTATGAAAGGTAGAATTGAAACATAAGTTTATTTTGGCGAAAAAAATTTTGAAATCTATGCATAGGAACATTTGGAAATAAGGTATTTGAGAAGGTAATTAGGTTAAATTTGGTCATAATGCTAAGACTTTAATCTGATAGAACTAATGTCCGTATAAGAGGATGAAACACTAATGATAATTCTCTTCTCCCTGCTTCACTTCCTCTACCTATCTCTGTGCACAGATGAAAAGCCTGAGCATACAGTGAGAAGCCAGGCTGTCTACAACCCAATAAAACAAGTCTCACCAGAAACCAACCCTCTTTGCATTTTTAATCTCCAGAACTATGGGGAAATAAATTTCTACTGTTTAAGTCACCCAGTCTGTGGTATTCTTTTATTATGGTAGCCCAAGAAAACTAACACAATACCTCATTTTGTTTCCATGATATTATATCATTTTTCTTAAATAGAATCTATTTAAGTGTTTCTGTATTGTACCTCAGAAATTCAGACCCACCTTTGCTTTATCTTTCTCATGGACTATATAAATGCAAAAGATTAAGCTGCTGCTTGGATGCCCACGTCCCATATCAGAGTGCCAATTCAAGTTCCAGCTACTCCACTTCTGATCCAGCTTCTTGTTAATGCATACCCTAAAAGGCAGCAGGTAATCATTCAACTACTTGGGTCCCTGTCACCCACACAGTAGACCTGGATAGAGTTCCTAGCTCCTGGTTTTGGCCTAGCTCAGTCCCAGCCATCTGTTATAGGCATTTGGGGAGTGAGCCAGTTAATGGAAGAGCTTTATTTCTATCTCTGTCTCTATCTCTGTCACTCTTTCAAATAAATAAATCTTTATTAAAAGAAAAAGTAAAGCATATTAACTCCATTTACCTTCCACCTGACTTATAAGTCATTGACCTGTATTTTCATTCTCTTTTTCTTAACCATATAGTATTATTTTTGTTTTATTCAGTCAATATTCATTTAGATTTACCCACTATTTTCTTTTTTATCTTTGTTCTTTTTCACACCTAAGAACAGTTCTGTTCTGTCTGAAGCACATTATTGGGAATTTCCTTTAAAGGTAAAAAAATGTGGTATGGATTTTTCCTACCTAGTGTGCTTGCGAGATAATAGAATTCTTGAATATGTGAGTAGGTATCCCTCATCAATTTTGAAATCTTTTCATCCATTAACTTTTTTAACATTGCCTTTGTTCCATTCTCCCTTTTCTTTCCTTTGAGGAATGTACACAGATGTGTATTAGACTTCTCACCCATGTCTCTTTATCTTTTTCATATTTTCTGTTTCTTAAGCTACAATCTAATTTCTTCTCACTTAGCATTGACTCACTCTTTGTGTAATCTGCTGAGTTTATTTCAGTTCTTAGGTGTTTTTAAATTCTCATAAATTCTACTTATTTCATTTTCAAATATAAACTCATTTTTACAGTTTCTTGTATCATATTTTCAAGTTCAATATTTACTTCTTTAAACATAATAGGATGATTGTTTTGTACTTTGCATCTGTTAATTTCCAAAATCTAAAGTCAGGGTTTTTTTTTTTTTTCCTATTTTTGCTGGTTTTTACTCATTATATCTTATGTCTTTGGGAGCTATAAACTACTATTAACCATTCATTTTCCTTGGAAAACTAATTGTAAAAATTATCTGAGGCCTAAAATAAGGTGAATTCTTCCAGGAGAATTCTGGTTTCTGTCAGACACCTTTCGGTCTAGCACTTTAAACTATATTCACAGCTTGGTTTTTGTAAGTTTTTTGCTTTACTTTTTGGATTAGCCAATAAGTATGAATTTTGGTTTCAAATCTTACTGTTGTAACTTTGCAGGGATCTCTTCTCCTGCTCTACTCAGCCTCAATGCAGCATTCCTAGCAGTCTCTTGAAAGTGGAGACTGACTTAGGTAACTTCATTCTCACTCAAGGAAGCATGCCTTTTGGAGTCCTAGTTTTATTGATTAGGATTTACTACCAGAGAAATACCTCCCCACCCCTGGAAGGACTCTCATATTTTTGCCTTCTTTCATATCCTGAGAAATCATCAAAACAGAATCTCCTATTTATAAGGTTCAACAAAAACCCTCAGGGTATAAATGCTTTAGAGTTCTATTTAATTATGCTGTATTCTCACTTTCACGCACATTTTGGTCTGGTATATCATATATTTCATGTTTAGGGAAGACTTTTAAAATATTCTAATATTATTAGATATTTTCAGTAAGAAGACTATAACAATTTGGCCCTTCAGTGAAAGAGTTGACTCAAATAACCCGTTTCCTATCTGCATTCTATCCTCTAAATAGTTATTGATATTTCTAATCTGCTAATCTATTTTGCAATTTCTTTATCCTTCTATATGTATATTGTTTTCATTCTTTTATTCTCCTTTCAATGTGATTTCAAAATGAGCAGAAATAAAAGAATATTTTCACTGTGGTACAGTGACTTAACATGCCACTTGGAATTCCTGCAATCCATATTGGAGGGTCTGGTTTGAATCCTGGCTACTCTGCATTTCCAATCCACTTTCCTGCTAATGTGGGTATGAGACAGATCATGATGGCCCAGGTACTTGGGTGCCTGCCACCCACAGGGAGATCCTGATAAGAGTTCTTGCTTCCTGGATTTGGCTGGCTGCTGCAGGTATTTGGGAAGTGAGTCAGCAAATGGAAGATCTCTTCTCCCTCCCCTCTCTCTCTCTTGCTCTATTTCAAGTAAATAATCTTTTAAAAAAGAATATGTTTAGTCTTCTGATGTATTTTACATAAACCTGATTCTTTTACATTTTAAGTAGATTTTTTGATTGTCAAATAAAACAGCTAATGCAGAAAATTGGAAAAGCATAAAGACAAAACAAATCATTAATAATCTTACTGACCAGAAGCAGCCATATTAAACATTTTCGCATATTTTCTTTCAGACATTTTCTATACAATTTCTTTGTATCCTTAAATGTATGTCAACAGTAAAGTTTATGCCTAAGTTTTACCATTGCTTTCCTATGTCAATAAAATTTTTTCTAAACATTTTCTATTAGATACCTATTTAATACTGTTTACAACAACTTATTTTTTTTTAATTTTTATTTATTTACCAAGTCTATTCTAAGACACTTTGGATCTTATTTTGTGCTACTTTCCACTCATCTCAACTTCTTAGTTCAAGAAGAAACTATAAGAATGAAACCATAATTTAAAGAGAGCCATGTATCATTTGAAATCATGCACAGATCTACCTATATAATATAGGCTGCTGTGAGCATCTAGGGAATTATCTAGTAGAGACAAGAACTCGCTGTTTCTCCTGCACTACCTCTACTTTCTCTCTCTCTCTCTCTCTCTCTCTCACACACACACACAGTACCTTTCAAATAATCAAAAACTAGATAAATAAAAATTTAACAATTAACATTTTATATTGACTTAAATTTGCTTGACCACGCTCCAGAAAAATGCAGTGCTGAAGAATAAGTTGTGGACAGCTTTCCAGGTAGGTCTCAAACAGCATGCTCAAATCAGTCACTCTACCTATAACTTCTTTATGCAGACCAATTTGTTCCTCCATGAAGTTACTAGTTTTGCAAGCACGTTTTGTTTCTAACTTCTGCATATAACATGATACAGATCCCAATCCAAGAATTCTTTATATCACCAGGAAAAACAAGTCACATACACACATAGGTTCACTTTAGTGGCTTACTACCTGTCAAAGTATAGTCTACATTTTAGAGGCTTACAGAAAATTGAGAATAGGGAGAGTTTAGGGTAATGGGCTGATCTCACAAGTGAGTGTAGCACTGGGTAAACGCCAGGAAAAATGACAATGTAGCCCTCAGATGAATCCAAATCTATGTGAAACCCTAGCAATTAATGGTAACTGTGACTTTTATATAGCAAATAAATGTCTGTATCTCAAATATCTATGAAAAGATGTCTTTTTAGGGGGAGGCAGATGGTACAGCAGTTAAGACACTGCTTGGTATGCATGAATCCCATATCAGAGTGCCTGAGTTTCAGTCCTGGCTCCCTTTCTAATTCCTGCTAATACACATCCTGGGAGGAAGTAATGGTAGCTCACATACTTAGGTCCCTGCCGCCTACATGGAGATCTGGATTGGGTTTGGGCTTCTGACTTCCACCTAGCTCATCCATGGCTGTTGCAGACATTTCAGAAATGAACAGGCAAATGGAAGATTCATATTCTCTCTCTCTCTCTCTCTCTGTGTATTTCTGTCTTTCAAATAAATAAAAATTTTAAAAAGAAAGTCTTACACTGACTGAAATTCACTTGACCTTGCTCCAGAAAGATGTAGAGCTGAAGAACAAGTTGAGGGCAGCCTTCCAGGTAGGTCTCAAACAGTCTGAGCATGCTCAAATCAGTCACTCTATCTATAACTTCTTTATGTGGATCAATTTGTTCTTCCATGAAGTTATTAGTTTTGCTGCTATATTTGAATGCTATATGGTAACCATTTTTCAGAGCAAACCAATACCTGTAAAGTAAACATGAACATGTCTTCAGTCATATATTCTTTAGAACATCTATGTTAATATACATAATTTTTTGACAGGCAGAGTTAGACAGTGAGAGAGAGAAAGGTCTTCCTTCCATTGGTTCACCCCCAAATGGCCGCTACAGTTGCCAATACGAAGCCAGGAGCCAGGTGCTTCTTCCTGGTCTCCCATGCAGGTGCAGGGCCCAAGCACTTGGGCCATCCTCCACTGCCTTCCCGGGCCACAGCAGAGAGCTGGACTGGAAGAGGATCAACCGGGACAGAATCCGGCATAATTTTTAAAAAATAATGTGTATAAGTATGGAATTTCTCCACATACTTGATTTCTAGTACACATTATTTGTGAATATCTCACAGTGGCTTTTAAGACTTGGATTTCATAAATTTTTACTGTGTGTTTGATGTACAGTTGTGTGCTAGGCCTGTTAAGTATACATAATCACAGTTTATTTTTATAATAATTATATGATGAATAGATATTTTCACTTCAAATATGGGAAAAACAAGGCTGAAAACTAGAGAGTGATTTGCTGTATGTTACACAGAAAGTAAAAGGCAAGTCTAAGGTCCAAATTCAGATCTTACGTTTCCTAATCACCCCTTTCTGAATGACAAATTACAATATTCATTTCATGCATTTTGTATTACCTACAACACACACAGATAGATAGATAGATAGATAGATAGATAGATAGATAGATATATTCCCATATGAGAACATCAATGTTAAAGATGAGACTGAATCTTCTTTCAATTTAATCTAACAAACAAAAATTACTCCTTATATATAAGGTGCTAAGTTCTTTGACTATCACCAATCTAGAAAATATATAAAACCTCAAACACTCTCATCATATCCCCAGGTTTGATAATTTCCATTCAAGTTCAGCCTAGGTTCTCTGGGATTCCTGGCCCATCATGTGATCCTGACTCCATACCCATTTTAAGCAGCATCCACCAACCTCTGGACTATGGGGCCCATCCTATAACCTCAACTGAAAGCAGAAACAAATCTTTTCTTTCCCTAGGAACCTCCTTCAGATATTTTAGTTAAAAGTAACAAAAAGTAGACTAAATGTTCATCAAAACTATCTACACCTCAGCTTCCTCACATATTTTTTCAAAAGGCAGTGATACATATTTTGTTTCAACCTACTCATTTTGCCACTGTTTCCCATTTCAGTAAATGGGCTGCTAACATTCAACATGTTGCTAAAACCAAAAATGATATAAATAATTTACAACTTCTCTCTTTTTCTCACAACCTATAAAAATTCTTTAAGGTTCTCTCAATTCTTGGTTCTGATTTCAAATATATGCAGGTTCTAAACATTTCTTACCATTTCCACCACTACCCTTCAGTATAAACAGCCAAGTTTCTGTCCTGAATCATTTCAATAGCCTCATCACTGGTCTCTCTGATCCTACTTTTGTTCCCCATATAACCTATTCTCTACACAGCATTCAGATTGAACCTTTAAAACATAATCCATGTGTCACTCTTCTGCTTAAAATGATCAGTTGATTTCTAGCAAACTTAGAATAAAAGCCAGTCTTTGCCACAACTTCTATGATTTGTCTCCCACAAACACTGCCACCAACTCTACTTTCATCTCATTCCTCCTACATTTCCAGTGTGACTACCTTGCTGTTTTTCCCAACTTTAAAGCCTTTACCATTGTTATTCTCTTTGCCTGGAATCCTTCAAAACCCCAGATATGAGGATACTTCAAAAAGTTTGTAGAAAATGGATTTTAAGATAAGTTAAAAGTTTTTTTGTGTGCAAAAAAATTTATATTCATGCATTGATTTTTTTAGATATGTATTTTCCATGAACTTTCTGAAGATCCCTTGTGTTTTGAAAGCTCCTTAACTTCTCCCACATCTCTACTCTGTTATCACTTTTTTCACCAGGGACTGCAAGACCACACCATCTAAAGCAATGTACTTGGGGCCAGAGCTGTGGCGCAGTAGGTTAATCCTCCACCTGTAGTGCCGGCATCCCATATGGATGCTGGTTCTAGTCCCAGCTGCTCCTCTTCCAATCCAGCTTTCTTCTATGGCCTGGGAAAGCAGTAGAAGATAGCCTGAGTGCTTTGGGCCCCTGCACCTGCATGGGAGACCCGGAAGAGGCTCCTGACTCCTGGCTTCGGATAGACCCAGATCCAGCTTTTGCAGCCATTTAGTGAGTGAACCAGCAGATGAAGACCTTTCTGTCTCTCCCTCTCACTGACTGTAACTCTACCTCTCAAATAAATAATAAATAAAATTTTTAAAAATAAGCAATGTACTCTATCATATTCTCATTATCCTGTTATTTTTCTGCATAGTGTTTATCAAACACTTGATATATTATTTTGATTTATCATATTTATCATCTTGAAATTATATAATCCATAGGAAATGAGGGACTTAGGTTCTGTTCATTGTTTCATTCTAAGCAACTAGAACAGTACCTAGTACATAGGAGGTCCTCAAAAAAATTTATTTAATGACTAACTGAAAGATTATGACATGTTTTTCCAGAAACACAAAGAGATAGTAGATACAAAAAGACTTTAGAAAGTTGAAATTGAAACACAAGTATAAGATATTCCTATTAAAAATAAGATGCACATCTATATAGTTACACAAAGATTCTGCATCTAAAAATAGGAATATATTTTTACAATTTCAGCTTTTTAATATCAAGATCCATTATATTCAATATGAGCTAGATGCCAGGATAGGGAAGAAGGTTTACAAAAATTATGTATGCATGGTCTCTATCGTCAGTGACCTTGCAATCTGATAGGAAGATAACGCCTATAAACTACTAGCTACAACACAAAGCAGAAAAATAACCACTCCTTAGAAATGCAAATACTATGCTGTGAAAGTAAAGAAGGAAAAATATATTAATACTTCCTAGAATATATAGGTAAGACTTACAGGGGAAGTCATATTTAAGTCTTTTCCAAGTATCTGGCATAAGAGGGAGCATGTGGTTCCTGCTCTTGAAATGGCTTATCAACCAATAGGATATGTACACTGAAAAACTTGAAAAAGTTACAAGTATTAGCAGGCACATATCCAGAACATAAATAGTATAGGCAGCACAGATTGGAAGAGGTAGCAAAGCATAGGCTCTAATCACTATTAGAATCATGAATGCCTGGGTTCAAAGCCTGGCTCTAACATTTTCTCAATCTCTGTGCTTCAGCTGCTTCATCTGGAAAATGGGTTTAACATCATATCCACTGCATTATTCTGCTTTTTGTTACTTTAACTAAAATATATGAGAAGAATTTCTTTGGGAAAGAAGTTCATTTCATCTTACAGTTTGAGGTTATAGGATTAGGTGGCCCCATACTCTGCCATGCGTGGAAGCTGCTTATGGCTGATGCAGTCGCAGTGATCACATCCTGAGACAGGAAGGAAAGAGGGCCTATTTGCCGAACTGAAAACCTCTCTTACGAACCACCTTTGAAGGGCACACCTATAATGACTCACAGACCTCCCATCTGCCCCACATCTCAGAGGTCATGATCAATTCTCTCCCCTTACTCAAATAACCATTATATTCAGATATTGAATTCCAAAGAGTTTCATGAATCTTGGGGTGACAAACCTTGCTGTACCCATAACACCTATCTCACTGTGTTGCTGTGAAAAGGAAACCAGTTAATATAAATAAAATGCTTACACCAGTTCCTGGCATATGTTGAGTGTTACATAACTTTCTGTAAAAACAAAATAACAGTACTGTTTACAAATCACTCATTCACATTTCCAGTGACTTCAGGGATGAGTATTTCCCAATTCTGCAGCGATAATTGGCAAATCTATACAAAGTTCTATTAACTGGAGAGTAATTTCATGGAAAAGGAGAGTATGAATATAATTTTTGAATCAATAAAACACTGTTACAGTTTTATGGTGAATAAGCAAATAAAAAGAAGCAAAGGAATCTTATTTAGGATATTTTATTCTCACCTATTCTTTTATTTGAGATTAAAAGTCACCAGTTTCCAATAATGATGAATGATCTCTGATCAGGCTAACCCTCCTACTGATGAAATGATAAATTCTGGACATTTTTTAAAAGACACATAAGTGCAACTAAAACTAGGAAGAAAACTGAGGCTTTTAACCATGGAAAGAAGAAAGCTATACTGCGTGAGATGCTGATTTATCTGGCTTTTCCCATGAAGGCCCCCAACAATCCAAATGGCACACAGTAAATATACAGCTCAAGCAGAAGGTCACAACCACATAGGCACAATGAGTCAGAAGACTGAGTCTGAGTCTACCACAGTGGACAGAAATTAAAGGGTACCCCAGAAAAGAGTGTGCCATAGAGCAGAGAACCCACAAATCTTCACATACTCACTTTAGATCCTCGGATGAATGCTTACTATGCATATGTGGGATAAAGCTCCAAGGAACTAAGGAAAAACAGCTATACAGAATCTGAGAAGAGATTCCACCAGCTGTCTACTACAAAGAGTTTGGAATTTGAGTTCCCCCAAATTTGGAAGGACTTGGTAAATACCACGGGCATTGCATTGAAATCTCAAAGAGGCCATTCCATAGGAGTAAAGACCATTTCAGAGGTAAGAAAATTTCCCTCAGACTGAGGGCAAAAGAAAAATAGCCCTTCCCTATCAAAGCAAAGCCTAAGCACAGCCTCTTATAACATCCAGTGACTTTGAAATAATTTAACAGTCTGCTTTCTCCTAGAGGATGATAACAGAAACCAATGTCTCCACAAAGCGTATAATCACTTACCTTGTAATGTCTATGAGACAATGAACTATTACTAGACATGTAAATAAACAGGAAAATGTGACTCATAACAAAGGAAAAACAGTTACTAAAAATATATCAGTTAATACAGATATATCCACAGACGACCCAGATATTGAAATTATCAAACAAAGATTTTAACATAACTATAGTAAAGATGAAAACTGGAATAAGGGACCAAATGGAAATCT